CGGGGAGTTGAGGTCCACACAGCTTGAAGTTGCCAAGGCTGAGACGCACTGGGCTAGGGTTACCATCACTCCTGGACACATGGTTTTCACCATGGTTTTCACTACGTTTTCACCATGGTCCATGGTAGTCAGAGAAAGCCCATTTCTATTCCGTTTCACTGTCCTCATCTGTTGGGCAGAAAGAAAAGCACAGCTGGGCTGCGCTGAACTGTTTCTTCCAGTGTCTGGGGGCAGAAGGAAGGGCTAGCTTCAAATTAACCCTCCCTTTCAGTTGCAGACAGCACTAAGAATTTGGGTTCAGGTGAACTGCCTGACTTACTCTGAGAAATCTAGGGTAAACTTGGGCACAACCCCATCCATCCATCCATCCATCCATCCATCCATCCATCCATCCATCCATCCAACAAACATATACAGCTGCCCATCTATCAGAAGGAGCTCTAGCCTTAAACTCCTGGGCTACAGGAAGTTATAGGTGTTACGTTTGGATCGACTTACGGCTCTGTGTAAATGCAGAAGATACAGATATTCGTTTAAGAACTGAACAATCCCAGGGAAGGGTCAGTGTAGTTTCAGGATAATCCCAAGAATTGTGTATGTTTATCCAATATATACCCAATAGAAGGAAAAAATATTTCCCCTCCAAAGAATTACTTGAGAAGGGGAGTGTCATTTTACATTTACAGAGAATGGAAGATGCTATTGAGAACAAACACTTGGATTGAGATGTCAATGGTTGGAGGTTCTTATGGAAAAAAATGTCTGTAATTTATTATTGCACCTTCAACAGCCCTGATTAAAGATGTGATTCTGTGCCCATTTCCTGCTCTTTGCACAATCTGGTCATCCTAAAAGGGAGCAGCATGATAAGTATGAAACTATATACACCTTACCCTTCTTTTTCGGACCCAGGGACCGTCCCTGTGTTGGTAGATCCAGGCACGGAAGCAATGGGGGTGCCAACACTGCGGAGGTTCTGAATCACCGAAGAGAGGAACTGCTGACTGGCGCTTTCGTACAAGTCAAAACAGATCTGGTAAGCCATGAGAAGGTTGTCCTCCTTCACCAGCTTCTCCAAGATGTCGCTAACGGCTTGTGGGTCATCCAAGAAAATGAGGCACTGCAGGAGGGAGGCCAAAGACCAAGTCAGAGGCAGCTCATGCTGGGTTTCACAAGACTGCAGCAGTGATTTCTTACCTCTTACCGTAAAATGGCTTCAAGTTACCTGAGCTAGAAGAAGACTCTCAGTATTGCTGTCAGCCCTCCCAGGTAAACCAGACAGGAAACATGACCAGATAATCTACTTCTACTTTACTGACAGGCTACATTAACAGAATCTTGCAAGTCTGAAACTGCAAATCTCCCACCATCCCTATTTGCCACCTGATCAGTTAAGGTGGCTCCTTTCTAAGTTTCTTTCCCTGTCCATTACTTAGTTGGGGGCTCCTCCCCCTTTTATCAGATCGTTCCCTAGACAGCATCTCTTCCCCACCCCCCACCCCGTCTTCCGAGGTCATTCTCACGTTCCATTATAATTGCACACTCATCAGTTATTAGACTATTAGAACTCTGTTATACCTCCAAAGGGCTCAGAGCGATATGGCTGAAGAGAAAGATTGCCTGCATCTATCATCCCAAGGTGGAAAGTGTTTCAGCAGCTTTGAATCCAATCTCATTTCTGTTCCTGGCTTCACCCACCCAATGCAGCACAATCAAGGCTCTATCTTGGCCAGGTTACTTTAATCCAGGGAAGCCAAAAAAAAAAAAAAAGTGGCTTTTTGTGGGCTGTAGCGGGGCTGAGCCAAAAATGACTTTTCTTTTCTTTTCTTTTGCATTTTGGAGGTTGGGAGGAATCCTTAAGAGGCAAGATGAGTACCTTAAGCAATAACCCATATCCACCCATGCGTAAATTAGGGTCACTTGGATCCTAACTGTGCCCAGTTTTGGAATACAGCCCTCAACCTAACCCTTCAGAAGGTGAGCATTTGTGAACTGCTGAAACATACATACCCCAAATAGATTTTTATTGTATTATTACAGAGAGCTAGTTTGGTGTAGTGATAAAGGCACCAGGCTAGAAACTGGGAGCCCTGCCTTAGGCACAAACCCAGCGGGGCAATTTTGGGCAAGTTTCTCCCTCTCAGCTCTTGGAAGAAGGAGGCAAAGGCAAAACACTTCCAAAAATGTTGCCAAGAAAACTTCAGGCATGTGTCCAGGCAGTCACCAGGAGTGAAGACTGACTTGAAGTACATGTACGCACACACACACAAATATCCTACATTTTTCTATACCTTACCTGCTATAGTAAATAGGTACTTGTGTTTTAGGAACAACCTACTTATTTATAGAGGTGGAGCTAGTAGCTATTATGAAGATTTTTTTCAGATACTCTATATTTGATATTCTACTTTTATCCCTCAATGTGAGAGTAGTACCCATGACATTATCTGGCCAACCTCCAGCTCATCCTCCCCTCCCACTGCAGCCATACAAACATCTACAAAGGCCCACCATATTACCTGGCACACATTGATGAAATCAGGTTTTTCCAGATTCATGTAAATTTTAACCAAAACTCTCAACACTTGATTGCGGAACTGTTTATTTTGCATCAAAGACATGCAAAGTTTTAAGCTATAGGCCAGCATTCCTGGAACATCATTCTGTCAAAAACAAGAAAAGTTACATTATTTTTTTCCAATTTTTAATCTTTTTTAACAATGTTTTAACAATCCTTTTGTTAGAACTTTTATCTCCTGCCCTGGAGAAATATAAAAATATGACAAAAAGGTGAACTGGGTCAAGACAAATCAAAGACTCTCTAAAACGACTTCAGTAACAATTCCTATAGCAAAATTATCAACGTACTATAAATCACTTAGATTTATAGCTCATTCTAAATGCAGGATGGGGAACATTTTGAGGTATGGTGCAGTGTACATTTCCAAAATGTGGAAGCTGTGACTCAAGAAGTCTACAGTTCATGTTTTACAGCACACGAAACTCACTAGATGGTTTAGGTGAAGCCCTTTTAACTTCATCCCAACACATTAATCTGCACCACAGACAGTGCTTCACAATTTTGACATCTTTATCAAAAGGACTACTGCGTTTAGAAAAAGGCAGAAGGTGGAGCCACATCCGTCTCCCACCATTGTTCACCTGCCTCAGGTATTTCGAGGCATACCGCCTCCTGTCCAAGATGACCCAAGCAACTCTGAGTCTTCAAGACTAAGAGCCAATGACAGACTTATACTTTCCCTGAATTTTTCCAGTCTCCCTGTAGTGGAGGGGGCGAAAACACTCCCATAGGTTCAGATATAAAAGTTTTTATAGTAAAAAATATGCTTAAAATATAATATGCAAAAGTTATTTGGTTAATCGATTTAGATAGAGGTCAAAGCTCAGGAAACTCAACTTTAAGCAACCATTAAGAGCAGAAAGTTATTTTTCCCCTCTTTCTCAGATGTTTTAAAAGTTGACGGGGCAGCTGTATTTTGCCCCAAACCTGTATGAGGACCCAAAGGCCACCAGCACAGATGCAGCCACCCCAGCCACCTCCTTTTATAGTTCCAAGGTTTGGGGAGCACAGGAGGAAAAAGGGAAACTGTTGTCTTATGCAGCTAAATATGGTTTGCCACCCAGAGTCATTTGCTGAGATGACTAAATAAATAAATAATGCACTATCACCGTGAGCTCATCCATTCAGAAGGAAAGCATTTACAGGCATAAAGCTGCAGTAAACCTTACTTCCAAGTATACACACACAGAGGACTGCACAGCAGAGAACAGGGTTTGGGCAGCTGTAAGGGATGCTTACTCTTCCTGAACCTCTTACTCTGGGGAAAACAGTATTAACTTACGGAGTCATCATGCTCATCAAGATAAATGCTGAATATGTGCATTTCAACATGATGAAATAGTTATTATGCTCATTTTCTCTATGAAATCTTCCTAATGCGAAGGTGGACCCAGAAAGGTGGTGGGCTGCCCTGTGTTGGAAGCATTCAAGCAGAGGCTGGATAGCCCCCCCCGTCAGAGATGCCTTAAGTGGCCTTCCTTCACTGAGCAGGGGTACGACTCAGTGGCTGCTTCCAACTCTACGATTCTATGAAAGCAAGTCACATGATTTAATCAGTCACATGATTTCCTGACCTGTCTTAGCATAATCAGGGTTCAAGGCATCAACAAGATTCATTTCAAGTGCTCCAAACTTGGGTCATTGATTTACATGAAAGGAAGCCACACGTCTGACATCTGCAGCAATGTTAGTACAGCACCCTGCTATATTTCCCATAGCTAACAAGTCAACCTAATATTTTGTTTCAAGAGTGACTCGTCTTCCTTGGCTGAAGCGCCCACCTCTTTCGAAAGCACAAAGGGATCTCAGGAACCATCTCGTCCTGGGATTGTGAGTTTTGGACCACCCATGTCAAGCAACCTTCTCTGGAGCAGCATCTTTCCTGTGGAACAACATCCCACCAGAGATCCGGATGGCCCCAACTCTGTTAGCCTTTCGTAAGGCCACTACAAACCCTGGCTGTTCCCCCAGTCCTTTGGGCTGGGAAGTTAAAGGGGCTCTGTCAGTTAAACTTGCTTTCTTATCAGTTGTAACTATTGTTTGGACCTCAGACATTATGGTCTGAAGGGTTTATATGGTGATTTTTCCCTATATATGCTGCCCAGAGTTGCTGCCATGGGATGGATGGCCATATAAATTGTATAAATGGAGTCAAGCACGCAATGCACTCAAAATGATATAAATACCCTAAACTGTACCTCTTCACAACATCCCAACTTCACCTACCGATTCCAAAATGGTTTTCTCAAAGATATCCAGCCTACGTGTCTCCAAGGCAATGCCAATGGCCTGTTTGTATTTGTGGTCATCTAAGCAGCGCTGAAACATCTTGTTTACAATCCCTTCCAAACGAGGATCAACTGCTTTCTGGGACCCCTCAGCCAGTTCGGCATTTTCCACACACTGTTTGGTGTAATGGTCGATGCATTTTGCTGGGAAAAGAAATGTATCCTTTAACCTCCTCTAATATTTATACATCTAGTCTAGTTATAGATTATGGACATGCCTGTTAACCTAGAGCAGTGTTTCTCAACCTCAGCAACTTTAAGATGAGTGGACTTCAACTCCCAGAATTCCCCAACCAACCATCTTAAAGTTGCTGAGGTTGAAGAACCCTGACCTAGAGGAAAATCTGAGTTATGTTCTGAAAAAAGCTTTGTATTCCAAAAGCAGTGATCAGTCACAATATAGGACTGAAAAAATGTTTTACTGTCATCTGAAAAGAAGGGGAATCTACAAACACAACCAGAAAATTATTAATCAATCATGCAGAGAATATATAGGCCTCTAACACTGGGTTCAGAACTCAAATTTCTGCCAATCCCAACTTTCATGCTTTAAAAACAATACATAAAACAATTACACAGCGCAAAGGGCTGCTTTTTCCAACATAACTGTCAATACCCAAGATAAGGGTGACCTCTTGTTTCTCAGAGGTAGCTTTTCATATTTAAATATTCTTTGGAATACTTAAAGACCTAGCAGGCATCTCCATTTTAATGCATTAAAACCTATTAGCTATCCTCTAACATAAAATGATATAACACACGAAACATCATTCTCTTTTTCGTAAAAGACACTGGGTTGAGACTTAAGCTGCAAATTTCCCCAAGCAAATGAAGCAACTCTCAGATTTTTCCAGAATTTGGAACTGGACAACTATTAAGTCTGACTATTTTGTGAACATTTTTGCACAGATTGCTGACTTAGGATAGCAGGGCAAAGTCCTTTCCAGCTATAGCGCACAGACTTACCAATAATGGTCTCTACGTATTCAGAATTGTCATTGACGTTGAAAAGGTTGCCAGCTCCCAAGGCATAATTCAGTGATTCTTCAAAAGCTCCTAAGTGATAGAACACCTTGGAAGCCACCAAAGCAGCAAATTCTCGACTACGAAACCCAACATCTTCATACAGAATTTCACTATGGGGAAAGGAAGGAAGATTGGTTCACTAGAGCCCTTTGGGAACATAAACCTTTCCTTTAGCACTTCAAACTAGGAAGCAAAGCAACAAGATACATTTTACCCCATGCTTTCTACTAACTACTCTGAATCTGAGACATAACATTTTTCTCTTACATTTTATCCACCGATTCAGAGATCTCAGCCCAGAAGTCATTGACAACAGCATTCAGTTTGTGGAGAGCAAATTCCTGTGAAAAGAATGAAAACCACTGCATTTAAACTTGCAAGAACGCAGAACTCTAGCAAGTGGCTTGAGTGGTGGAGTAAGGTGGAGTAAGTGGTGGAGAGGTGGAGTAAGACCACCTCTGGCACAAATTCTGTATCACCACATGTAGCCTTGCGCTTACCAAAGAGGGTGAAAAAACAATCACCATTAAATTTCTCAGCAATATCTGCCCAGGAAGAGAGCCATCTTATTAAATATCAGCCTATGGACTGGCCACTGTGCTGGGTGGGCAAAGTCTGTGAGTCACAGTCCTATCACAGCAGAGAGCAGAGATTGGGGAAAGCTGGGCTAGGTATATTTTTCTCAAAAAGGACCCCTACTAAGGATTGTGGATAGCGGCAAAGACATCTTTCTTCATGTTTTCTACCAGAAGTGTCCTGAACTATCTTCTACAAAATTGTACGTATGTGCGGCCAACTGTGCAACAACTAGAAAAACCCCCACCCCTCTTTGTTCAGACCTGCTTCCTCACCACAGGCAAAGGACTACCTTGTTCAAAATGGCTGTTCCTATTACAGCTACGTTCAGAGACCTTTAATGTTTGCTGTTTCTTGCCTAGGGTTGTCTCTTCTGAATCCATCCTGTTAAATACTTAAGTACTGCCAGAATGCCTCAGTAGTTTACCAAATCTTTTGGTTATTCAATAGGATGACAGTACAGTCTAAATTAACTTGAAAGCACTTTTGGCTACTTCCAAGATATGATTTTGAGAACTATATTAAAGTCCAGATATTAACTGTGTTTCAATTTCCATTCACATTCTCTATCCAATTGTTTTAAGAGTAGCAGCAATATTATTGATGAAAACTGTCAGCATTTTAGACCAAGCTAAATCCAAATATGCAAGAGAATTCTTGGAAGCCTGGTATTCAGACAAGGCAGCAATTAACAGACACAGAGATAAACAGCATCTACATACTATTCAAAAGAGACAGAAGACCAGAAGATCGCCTATCCAGCAATCAATCACCAGCAATCATCACCCAGATAAACAAAGGTTATCACCAGGCACACAATCAAGCAGCAAACATATCCTAATCAAAGAACTACCAGAGGAGAAAAACAAAAACCCCACCCTAGCCAGCACTGGCGAGGCAGGCCACAGCACATAAATAGAGAGCAAATCCCATCCCATTTTAGC